GCGAGCAGGGGCCAGGCGGGCCAGGCGCACGGCCGCCTCCTTCCCCCTCTCCAGCGCGGTGGAGGCGGCATCGTTGCTCGAAGGCGGTCGAGTCGCGGAGCCGCACCTCGTCGTTGACGACTTCCAGGTGATTCAGGCCGGCGGACGTCGCGGAGATCAGCCGCGAGGCCAGCACCGCATCCTGGCGCCAGATCGAGCGGGCCACGCTCTTCAAGGCCATGAACCTCGCCTTCGTAACGTGGTACGTCGCCTGCTTGGAATCCAGTTTGGACCGCAAGAGCTCGCCCCGCACCGCGAGCGCCGCCGGCCGCATGCACTGTTTGGCACCTCGCCACGCTGACTCCGGGGAGCGACCCGGCAGCAGGAAGGCGCTGTGCTCGACCATGTTGTCATAGTGGTACGGGAATCTCGTGTGCTCGAAAAGGAAGGCGGGCAGCGGCATCTCGTCACTCTTCAGCGGGTGCCTGGGGCCAATCTGCAGGGTGAGCAGGGCGTGATCGCTGAGTTGCTGGTCCGAGAGGTCCGCTGCGTCGCGGAGAGGGCGCAGCAGCACTCCAGCGTTGAGCACGGCGTGGGCGGGGCCCGACACGGAAACGCGATCGATGCTCGTCATGACGTGCGTGTGCTTGTCGTAGCAGGTTGGCCAGTCCGCTTCGATCTCAATCATGAGGCCGCAGAGCTGACGCCAGGCCCCCTGTCGCTGCTGTTGTCGCCGTTCCAGTCGCAGCGCGAGTCACTGCGACACCTGGCGACGGTGCGACATCGGGGGCAGGTCAGAGACGTTGAAATCCCCAGAAGGAGGAGATGGAGGAGGAGGAGGTAGACGTTTGTAAGGCTGGAGGCCTCCCAGGCCAGCAGTTCAGCGCGCACACGCACACACACACACACACACACACACACACACATATATATATATAATCTATATATATATATATTATAATATAGCGCAGCCCCCCAGCACCCACTGATTTTCATCGCGGTTCGCGCTGATCGCACTCGCATTTTCTTTACTGCAGATTCGGTTCTCGCCCTGAGACGGCGGCATCGAATAATGAACGTCATCTGGAGAGCCAACCACTTGATCCTGCATCTCCTTCCCCTCTTTCACCTCGTCCATCCTCCTCCTCCTCCTCCTCCTCCTCCTCCTCCTCCTTCCTTCCTCCTCCTCCTCCTCCTCCTCCTCCTCCTCCTCCTCCTCCTCCTCAACCTCAGAAGATGCAAGCGTCCGCTTCCCCCGCCTTTGGGAGAACAGGTATAAGATATCAGCGGCAGCGCTAACAAGAACGATAAGCGAACCATATGATTTCTCAGGCATTCCAGGGATGCACAGGGATGCTAAGTGACGATCGCTGTGCAGGCTCAGGGATCCCAGGGATTCCAGGGATGCGAAGTCACGATCCCTGAGCAGGCTCAGGGACCCCAGGGCTTCCAGGGATGCGAAGTCACGATCCCTGTGCAGGCTCAGGGATCCCAGGGATCCCAGGGATTCCTAACCCTCCAGCAAAACCGACCTGGGGATCCACCAGCGATCCCGCGCTCAGAATCCCTGGGATCCCTGAGCCTGCTCAGGGATCGCGACGTCGGTTGTCAGCAAACCATATGATTTCTCAGGGATCCCAAGGGTTCCAAGGATGGCAAGTCACGATCCCTGAGCAGGCTCAGGGATTCCAGGGATTCCAGGGATGCGAAGTCACGATCCCTGTGCAGGCTCAGGGACCCCAGGGATCCCAGGGATTCCTAATCCTCCAGCAAGACCGACCTGTGGATCCACCAGCGATCCCGCGCTCAGAATCCCTGGGGTCCCTGAGCCTGCTCAGGGATCGCGACGTCGGTGGTCAGCAAACCATATAATGTCACAGGGATCCCAAGGATTCCAGGGATGCCAAGTCACGATCCCTGAGCAGGCTCAGGGATCCCAGGGATTCCAGGGATGCGACGTCACCATCCCTGTGCAGGCTGAGGGATCCCAGGGATCCCAAGGATTCCTGACCCTCCAGCAAAATCGGCCCGGCGACTTCGCAAAGATTTGGGGGGTTGGGAATCCCTGGGATCCCTGGGAGCCTCCAGCAGCCTGCACAGGGATCGTGACTTCGCAAAGATTTGGGGGGTTGGGAATCCCTGGGATCCCTGGGGTCCCTGAGCCTGCACAGGGATCGTGACTTCGCATCCCTGGAATCCCTGGGATTCCTGAGCCTGCTCAGGGATCGTGACTTCGCATCCCTGGAATCCCTGGGATCCCTGAGAAATCATATGGTTTGCTGACAACCGACGTCGCGATCCCTGTGCGGGCTCAGGGATCCCAGAGATTTTGAGCGCGGGATCGCTGGTGGATCCCCAGGTCGGTTTTGCTGGAGGGTTAGGAATCCCTGGGATCCCTGGGATCCCTGAGCCTGCACAGGGATCGTGACTTCGCATCCCTGGAATCCCTGGGATCCCTGAGCCTGCTCTGGGATAGCGACGTCGGGGGTTGTCAGCAAAAACCATATAATTTCTCCAGGGA